CTTCTGAGAGGGAGCTGGTAAAGTGCTTTACTAAAAGTTCATGCTCTACAGTAACATGTTTGAGCTAGTAATTATGTATTTTATTTGGACCCTCTGCTTTAGTTATGTAGAGAAGCTAGAGTATTAGCTGCCTCGGTTGTTTCTGTTGTCAGTCAGTAAGCATTTATTAAGCACCTAAAATACTGTGTGCCAAGCACTGGTCTAAAGATACACTGGATACAAAGAAAGGCAAAAGTCAGTTACTACTCTCAAGAAACTCTCGTCCTAATGGGAGAGACAATATGAAAACAAGGATACACGAACAAGACATATACGGAGTAAGTGGGAGGTAATCTCAGGAGGAAGACACTAGCATTGTGATCAGAAAAGGCTTCTTGTAGAAGATGTTGATTTTACCTGGGACTTGATGCAAGCCAGGAAAGCCAGGAGGCTTCTGTTGGTCACTATATTAACAATGTTAGCTTCCTATTTCTTATTTGATCCAAATTGCATTTCATGTACACAACCAGAAATGTTTATAGTCTCCTGCTTTGCAGGTTCTCTCTCTCTGATTTCTTTGCTTCTCAAGCGTCTCTAATAAATTGTTGATTGTTACTGAACTTTCATTGTGTTCTTTGCCCTCCTTTTACCCCTATATCACCCTAACCTTCTGATTTTTTTATTTCAGTTACTGATTAAGAGAATCTAGAACTTCTGATACACTTTTGTTTTCCGGATTCTTTTCTGCACATATTTTTGGTTGCCTCTAATTGGGAAATATGGGGCTAAAGTTTGCTACTATTTGTGCTAGCTAGGTATTAATGTCATCTTCTAATGGCTTTCCAAAGATTTTCAGTAGCTCTCTCAAATTACTTCTGCTATGGTCATTTTTGATGCCAGTTCTTAGTGTTATTTATTGATAGCGCCACATTTCTTCCAGTGATTCTTGCCCTGACACTGGTTGCCACTTATACCGCTGTATGCAGGTACTGAAATGTTTGTATACTTTCTGTCAAATACTGTGGGGAAATGTGTTTATTTTAATTGTAGTGTATTCCTCTAGATGGATTCATGCTGTCAAGCTCAAAAAGGAGTCTTTGAAATTCCAGTCTGAGTGTGCTCATCTCTTTTTCAAAATGTTTTGAAATAGAATCTGTTTTGTCATCCATTTATTTATATCATTTATACATTTATTATAATTTCTGCAGTTTGCATGAAGTGAAGATTTTCAATGACCTCAGGGCCATCAACTTTTTCTCCAGATTTCAGTAGCTCTTCAATTTTATCTCTTAGTTCATCTAACCTAGGTTTATGGCTGAAATTTTTAAAATATATATATTTATTATTTTCATGTGGTCATCTTGCATGGGTCTACAATACATTGCTGTGTGACTTAAGAGTTGAGGGTGCCACCAACAAAAAGCAGTCTGACATCCTTGCCTATCGTTGGCAAGTTCAATTTCCAATTTTGATGTGATATAGTACTAGCTGATAATGTGTATGACAAATATATATATATATATATATATATATATATATATATATATATATATAAATGGGGTAGAGAAGAACAATAGTTAGGTAAAAATGATAGCCAGGGTGATGTACAACAAAGGGTCTTGGTATGTCCTAAGATGGCAGAGTACCTTTGGAAGGTGAAATAGGAACCCTGAAAGTATTCATGTGTTCAATTAATTTCATAGACACTCATGATTTGCCTGCTTTAGTAGTCAATACGATCTGAACTTAAGTATTTCTTACAGGTCGGGCATTGATATTTCTGCCAAAGTACCTTGTCTTCTTGTATTACTGGAATATGAAAGAGTACCACTTGCTCCACTGACCTCCACATATCATTCTGGTCATCATGATGGTTTTAATAGAGTAAGTTTGCAATTGTATGTTGCCATGTCCAGTTCTTAGATTCATGGAAGCAATTTCATTACACTGATTAGGGTTCCAAACCAGTTGGCAGTATCACAAGAGTCCAGTGTTTCTAGGTTTCTACCAGTTATGATCTTCAAAAGCTACTTTAGCAATCTCTGGGCACACAGAGTCCCTGCTGTGCATTACACTAGCTAGCATTCCCTTACTCTTCTATTATTCCCCTCTTGCCCATTATGACAATATATGATAGATTTGACCTTAAGGAAGTAATTTTTAATATTATTGTTATTATTATAATTATTATCCTTTCATCATTCTTGATGGAGATCAATTCTCTTGCTATTGTTCTTTTATATTAAATGTTCTGCTGACTGTTGCATGGGTGGATGCTGTTGTGATTTACCAACACAAGTTCATATGACAATGTTTACAGCTGTTTGTGAAATGTTGCTTAGTGTTTAATCAGGGGGCATTTGCTTGCACCTAACCTATTTATTACTCGCATGTAATTTTTCTTTTTTGGGGAAGGTTATTTGATATCTTACAGGAAATTTAAACTTCTGTGTAGGTCAGATATATAGAGAGATCATGAACGATGCTTCTCTGAGGTTATCACTATAATCTCCCAAAGATTAAAGAGATATATCAAATGGTTTTTCAGTCTTTGTTGGATTCTGGGTTCTAGATTACAACACTAGACTAGACTAGAGCCAGGAAGATGAGTTAGGAGACTACTATAATTACCTAAGTTTAAGGTGATTAGAGTCTGATCTAGGGCAATTAGAATTGGAAGGAAGGGACAAGTTTGAGGGCCAATTTGAAGTCAGACTTGTTAGCATTTAATCTTCAACTGAATATAGAGGTTAAAGCAGACCAGACTCATTACAAGGTTGTAATTCTTGTTAAGTGGAAGTAAGCAGAGTTGGTGGTGGTGGTGATGGTAGTGTTTAAGAAGATGAGCTCAGTTTTGATTATGTTGAGTTTAAGGTAAACTTGCATCCGAGTAGAAATATTTAGAATGCAATTGGACATAACAGTACCAGAATTCAAAGGAGAGGGCAAGGTAAGAGGTATAGATTTGAGAAAGAAGTGATAGGTGAAGTCATGAGAATATAGAGGAAAAAGAATTGAGGGGTAAGAATTGAGTCTTGGGAAAAAGTGGAGCATCACAAAATATGAAGGGTGGCCGCAAGAAACAGGTTAGTATAGTTCATGGAAATCAAGAAAAGAGAAATTTGAGAAGGGGGTAGTTAGCACTGTCAAATGTCACAGAGAAATCAAAGAATGAGCATTAGGAAAACCCTACTCTATGTGCCACTGTGTTTGTTCTTATCTGTGATTGGAGCATTGATTCAGAGTTGGAAGAGGCTTTAAAAGTTACTTAGTGCAAAACTTTCATTTTACAGACTAGACAACGGAGGTCCAAAAAGATAAAGCAAGCTGTCCACATCACACAGGTAGTACATAGCTAGTATCTCCTATCCAATCAGTTACTGAGTTCTGTTGATATTACCTATAGGATCTCTTCTATCCTTCCCCTCTTGGAACCCATTGTAATAAACAACTGGCAAGTTTTATTATGTATACCCTCCCTCTCCAATCTATCCTGCCTTTCTTTTTTAAAATTTTTATTTATTTTATTTTTAATTTATGAAATAAAACAAGCATTTCCATAACATGATATAATAATTTTAAAAGATGATTGCACATGAAATTGCAAATCTATGTGTACAACTTGCTGTTCCTTTAAAATATATAATAAAGTTATCATGTAATTTTTTTTTGTTTTTCCTTTTTTTCCCCTCCTTTCCTTCCTCCCTGCCCCACTCCCTGGTTCTAGAGATGGCTACCATTAAACACAAAATATGTATGTATGTGTGTGTATATATATATTATGTATATTACATATATATGTAAAATCATTCTATATGTACTTGTATTTACCAATTCTTTCTCTGAATGCAGACAGTATCTTCCTTCATATTTCCTTTGTAATTAATTTGAGTATTTATAATAGTCAAAATGATTTATTTCCTCAGAGTTGTTCTTAAAACAATATTGCTGGGGCAGCAAGGTGGCACAGTGGATAGAGCACCAGCCCTGAAGTCAAGGACCTGAGTTCAAATCTAGCCTCAGACCAAACATTTGGCTCTTACTAGCTGTGTGACCCTGGACAAGTCACTTAACCCCAATTGCCAAAAAACAAACAAATAATGTTGTTGTTACTGTATACAACATTCTCTTCTATCTGCTCATCTTTCTCTTCATTATTTCATGCAAGTCTCCCCATGTTTTTCTAAGATCATTGAGCTTATCGTTTCTGATAGCCTCTCCATCCCTGTGTCATATGATTTCCTGCTATATATACTCTGCTCCAGCCTCCCTAGACAAAGCTTAGAAAGCATTCTGTTTCCAGACAAACCCTAAACTTTCTTGCCTGTAATCTTTATTCACTTTGTTCCTTATTCCTGGAACAACCTCTCTTCTCTTCTTCAACCATTAAATTCCATTAAAGACTAATTCCAATCCCATTCCTTCCATGAAATCTTCCCTGATCCCACCAGCACTTGATGTTTTTCTCTTTGATCTGTCATTGCATTTTTGTTTGCACCTTTCTAATGCACTTATATTGCCCTACCAACTAACCAGAAGCATTTATTAAATATCTACTATGTGCCAGGCACTGATCATACAAAGACAAAGATGAGACAAGCCCTGCCTTCAAAGATTTTCCATTCTACTGGGGAAAGCAATGCCATTTGTTCACAGATAAGTAAATTCAGGCTATATAGGAAGTAAATTACTCAGTGGTTATTTTTTGTGGGGGGAATGGGGCATGATATCTAATAATTAGAGGAATTAGGAAAGACCTCTCAAGGAAGTGACGCTGGAGCTTAACTTTGAAGGCAGTTAGGAATTCCAAGAGGCAGAAATGAGGAGAAAGAGCACTTGAGCAGCAGCACAAAGTACATTAGGCAAAACAAGACTGGATAAGTAAAGTGGGGCTCAGTTACAGAAGGCTTTGAATGCTTAGGAGGAGGATTTGAGATTTGATCCAACAGGCACTGAGACACTACAATCAGGTGCAACAAGATGGAATTTTTACTTGAGCAAAGGATAAATTGTCACTTTCCCTCTCCGGGCATAGTTTTTTTTTTCTTCTGCAAAATTGGTAGTACCTATTTCCAAGCACAGTTGTGAGGAAAATATTCTGTAAACCTTGGGTTCTGTAAATACAAATGGACAAGTATTAAGTTCACCCAGGTACCAGCTAAGGCACTGGGATGATTTGCTGCTACTAGAGATAATCATGGTGAAATAAAAAGAGCCCTGCACCAGTAGTTAGAAAGATCTTGGTTTGGATCTGCTGTGTACCATAGGAAAAGCACTTTACTGCTCTGGGCCCTAGTTTTCTCATCTGTAAAATGGGGATAATATGGTTAGTGCCCACCTCACAAGGTTGTTGTGAGACTCAAGTGTATGTTAAGCACTATATAAAATATCGTCTATTATTATCAGCACTAGTAACCATTCAAGCACTGGTCCCTTGTTCTGTCAGATGTTATTATTGTTGTTTGGCCATTTTTCAATTGTGTCTGACTCTTTGTGACCCTTTGTGCGGTTTTCTTGGCAAGGGTACTGGAGTGATTTACCATTTCCTTCTCCAGCTCATTTTGCAGATGAAGAAATTGAGGCAAACAGGATTAAGTGACTTTCCCAAGGTCACACAGCTAGTAAATGTCTGAGGTCAGATTTGAACCCGGGAAGAGGAGTCTTCCTAACTCAGGTGCTTTATCCATTGTACCACCTAGCTACCCCTAAATTATCTGTCAGATGACTTGAATGTTATTAGGAGGAGCTCATTGTAATTTAAGTTGTTTGAAATGAGTCATGTAAGTGGTGGACTGAGCAGAAATTTTACAAAGAGAGCAAGCATTAGGATACCAGACTGTAAACTCCATGAAGGCAGAGATGGTGTCTTATCTAAATTTAGCATCTCTCCCAGCACTGAGGGGAGTGTTCTGCGCGCATTGGTAACCTGCCTCATAGAGTTGTTATGGGGCTCAAATTAGATAATGTTTGTAAAATTCTCTGCAAACTATATTAGTTGAATTGTTTGAACTGAACAATAGATATGAGTTTTAGTTGCCTTTTACTTTCTATGCTTCTAAGTTATTAACTACTGAGAGACAGTATAATGCCTTTCACTGTTGATTTGGAGGCTGCAACTCTGAATTGAAATCCTGTCTTAGATCCTTACTGGCTACATAAGAACAAATAAAATACAGTATGTGTAAAGTGCTTAGTACAATGGCTGGCATGTACTAGGTGTTTAATAAATGCTTATTTCCTCCCTCCCTGTGTGACTGTGGGCAAGTCATGTAACCTTTTACAAATTCAGTTTTCTTATCTGTGAAGTGGAGATAATAATATTATGCACCTATATCATAGGGTTGTTGCAAACAAAGTATGCTCTGAAGTGAGCTATTATAGCATTTGTCAGAAGATGCCTTAGATAATTATGAATGAATGAATGAATGAATGGAAAAGCAGTTACTGGGTATTTGTAATGTGCCAAACACTGGGAATGCAGATACAAATAAGCAAAACAATTCCTACTCTCAGGGATTGTGAAAGGGCAAGACAGCACATATAAGGGAGTAATGACCAAGGAGGAGTATTTTGTACAAGAATGTCAGAGGGAAAAGTGATGAAAGTCATAGGACAAATGGTAAACATGTCCCTTCCAGGAATGATAGTGTTTGCTTACTTTACTGTTCTTAGAGTTAGAGTTGGGGGCAGCTAGGTGGCACAGCGGATAGAGCATTGGCCCTGAAGTCAGAAGGACCTGAGTTCCAATCTGGCCTCAGACCAAATACTTGACATTTACTAACTGTGTGACCCTGGGCAAGTCACTTAACCCCAATTGCCTAAAAAAAAAAAAAGGCAAAAACAAAACCGAAAAAAGAGTTAAGAGTTGGAAGGTGGTGGTGGTGGAGGAGATGAGGAGGGTAAGCCAGAAGCATGCTGCTGGGCCTGAGACCTGTCAAAGGCCAGGGTCCTTAGGATGGGAGCTTGAGTTCTGGTAGGTGATAGAAGCTGGAGCTGCTGGTGGTATGGCATGGAAATGACTGTGAAGTGGCATGGTGGGAGCTGACCTCTACATTTTTGCCAAATTCCTTCATCACTGATGCAAGAGAGCTTTGTATTTAAACTCTCAAAAGTAAATTATGTTTAGAGACTCTGGACAGTGTATTTTTATTGAAGGAGGCCGTAATTTAATTTTTCAGCTCAAACCTGTAAAGAATGGAAAATTCTGATATGGTCCTAATAATAACTGAGGCCAATCTCTTCTACCATATCATAGAGCCAGGTACTGTCCTTTCTCTTGGGCTAGCCTGATGCATCCAGAAGACAGACCAGAACCAATTGCTGCTGTCGAGGAGAACCACAGATTTTTTTCCTTGTCCTTCTCCAATCAGTTCTCATGGCTTCATTAGTCAGTTCCCACTAGGCATAGAACTAGCACTGTCAGCTGCATGCTAACCCCTGTATCCCAGAGCCCCATTCCACTCTAACCTACTGTTCTCTTGGTTGAAGACCATTTGCCTTATCATTACTCCCCATGGCCCTTAAGGCCTTTGCCATCTACCCCGCTACTTTTCCTTCCTTGTTGTCTTTCCTTTCCATCTGCCATGAACAAACATGAAAATAAACCCTTAAGCCCTCCTGTATGTGTTGTCTTTCGCATTTGGAAAGTGAACTCTTTGATAGCAGAGACTGTCTGGGTTCCCCTATTTGCAATCCCCAGTGCTTGGCACAGTGCTTCACATATAGTAAGCCAAAAGCATTAATAAATGCTTTTCCATTCTATGACGTCAAATCCATCTAATGAGAGGAAGTCAGAGGACCTTCCCAAGAAACAAAATACCTTTGTTGGAAAATTCATAGAAGAAATTGTGTGCACCTTAAAATGTTGTGCTCAGTAGTGTGGGATAGGTCCTGCCTGCTCTTTAGGGTTCACATCTGGAGAATACCTCCTTTCCAGCAGTTCAGAATGCGTCTGGGAAAGTCATTCTGGTTTTGTGGGACTGGAGAACAGGACACACTATAGGTTTCCAAATGGCAGTTGTAACTCACTAGCAAAACATGTTCACTCTACATTTGACCACTTCTTTACAGCTAAGGAGAGAAGTGAACTGACTGAGACCAAAATTTAAAATTCACATGAGTTAGAACTATAAAACTTTGGCTGCCGGAACAAAGTGTAAATCTGGGCTACTGATTTACCAGGGACAGGGACTTGAATAATAATAGCTAGCATTTCTAGAAGACCATGAGGTTTGTAAAATGGTTTACAAATATTATTTCATTTGATCAATAAAACCTGGAGTTCTGAGGTGTGGTTGGGCAAGCATTTAATCTCTTTGCATTTTCATTTGCCTCTCTACAGAGTAGGAAATGCTTATATTGGTCAATAGGAATTTAATTCAATACAGTAAACATTTATTCAGCACTTATGATGTGCAGTACATCCTGATAGGTGCTGAATAATGGCTAGTCAGATAAGTGCTTCACATATTTAGTTTCATTTAATCTGCACAACATCCCCATTTTATAGATGAAATATTAATATGATACATGGTATAGAAATAAGAGGTATTATAAGAAACTCCATATTAGAATGGAAGTTCCTTAAGAGTAGGAATGATTTCGTTTTTGAATGTGTATCCTCAGTGTCTAGCATAGAGCCTGTGCACTTAGTAAATGATTATTAATTGATCAATTGATATTTAATGTCAACATTTTGCCAATTTTCAATTAATTATTAGCTGATCATTTGGTTTGTGGATTATGAAGATTGCTTTTCTCTTTTCTTTCTTCATTATCCTTTCAACTTTTTAAGGCTTAAAAAGTGAGGGTACTGCTGAGTTAGAAAGAAGAAACTTCACTCAATCGAGTTTTTCAATTTTTCTAGCCCTTGTAAGGACGTAATGGAGAGAAAATCACTATAATTATTGGCTAATATGAACTTTCTGGATTATTTATGGATGTCAGTGATTGATTTCCCTAAGTATGGACTGTCAAAAAACTGGCTACATAACTCTTATATGGTATCCTAGAGTGTTTTGATAACCTATATGAATTCCTGGAAGACAATATTTATTTTGTCAGCCTTGAAATGATCATTTACTAAGGATGAGTCACAGTGTTTCAAGTGAGTAACAAAAAAATGTTAATCTTTCAGTAGTCTATTTGATCTTGCTTGGAAGTAGGCCATGCTGAACAAAATTATTCTAAGCTTTTTAAACTTTTAAACTTATTTGTAAGACTGGATGAATGTAAATATTAAGTCTTTGAAAGAAAAATGAAATATCTAGCTATTTGTTGTTTTCTTAGGAAGTCGTTTATTTAGGTTGGAGGACTGAATACTTGCTGCAACAGTAAGAAGTCTCTTTTCTCTCAGGCATGTAAGCTGGATTTCCAAAGGCCTGGTTAGTTTAGGAAGTGGGCTCAAAGTTATTCAGTAGTTAGAGATTGTGGTATTAGACTTCATTATAACCTGATCATTTTCTATCCACTGTAAATATAACCTTTCTTCCACTCCAAAGAAAATTGTTTTTCTTCTCAAAGCTTAATATTTTAGGATGTACAACAAATTATACAATGCATTGTCTCCTCAGAAAGACTCAGTATTGTCAGTTTAGGAATGAAACAAGTGTCATTGTCAGCATCTTTTTTCTATTTTTTTTAATTCAATTTTATTTTCAGTTCCAAATCATCTCCCTTCCACTCCCTATCACTAATCTATTAAGAAAGCAAGAAAAACAAAACCCATATATATAGTCATGCAAAACAAACAACCACCATTAGCCACATCCAAAAGAAAAGAAAGAAGGGGAAGAAAAGAAAAAAGAGGAGGACACATATTTCAGGATGCACTGTGACGCCACCAGGTCTCTGTTTGGAGGTGGGTAGCATTTTTCATCATGAATCCTTTAGAACTGTAGCTGGTCATTGTGCTAATCAGTGTTACCAAGTCTTTCAGAGTTGTTTCAGTATTTTTTCCCCTTGAGTGGTTGATACTAGAGTTTCCCGGGCCTAATGCCCACAGATTCTCCATTATAGTCATGCCAACTAAGTGTTATTTTTTTTTAAGATCCAGGTTTTACCAGATAGCTCAGCCTGGCACCGTAACACAGCCTGACAAAAATACTTATTTCTGTTCTCTCCTGATTTTAAAAATACTCATTTTGGGGAACATTTCTGTGATGTTCAGTTTTAGGCTAGAATATATTACTGGGTATTTACATTTAGCTAGGCTCTTTCTGTGATAAAATTAATTGATCTGGTGCTTTTATTTTTTTCCCTTTGAAATAAGTTACAAGGAACATTAAAATAATACAGGCTTACTTCCAAAATCAGTTTATTCTTATTGTTGTTGTTGTTTTTAAGGCAGATCCATTTATTTGTGAACTAACTAACCTTCAGAACAAGACCTTAAATTTAGAACCCTCTGATGATATTTTAGCTGTAATTTGGCAGGGGCTTGGGTGGGGGGTGGGGCAGGGAAGAGAAGTTGACTGGACAGAACAATCTGTGAAAAGTACTTGTGACTAGTCGTACAAGTCTAGTTTCCTTTTATTTATCATAAGTCTATATCATATTGTTCTTTAACACTTTGACACTTCGATAAACCTATGAGCTCACTGATGAGGGCACTTCACCCAGTGACACAGCTTATAATAACCTATGCATTCCTGGTTACACTGTTTGACTTTTGTCCATGTGTTTTAGTATGTCCTCTGTAAGGAGGCGGGGGGAGCACCCATTATGCTTTCTGGGTCTGTTATTTGGGTACCAATATGGCCTATAATAAAAGAGATGTATGACTAGTAAAGGAGGTAGGCTGGTTATATAGAAAGAGTGAGAATAACAGATGGCTAGCCTGCATGCTGCCTTGGTCCTTTTTGCATGCAATTCATAGTTAGCTGTATTTCATACACCACACTTAACGTCTCTCCATTGCCTTTGGGTGATCCATAATTTTGATTCCTCAGAGATTATGGTATTTCATGGTCCTTAGCCATAAATCATCATTGGAAGAGTATTGGCATTGAAAAAACAGAATTTTGTTTCAGGAAGAAGCTCAGGATTGTTGAAAATGCTTAATAATTGTCTAAATGAAGCAGTCTTCTCTTTTGCTTCGACTTAACTCTGAGTCCTCTTCATCATTCATCTAAAGTGTATGTCCAAGATACAGCTATTGATGGACCAACTGAGGGCAGCTATCTATCAAATGCATAGCAGTCTAAACAATATGTATATTTTGATCTATTTTATCAAATGATATTTTGTTATCAACAATAGTTTGTATTCTTATACACCTGTAATTCAACTGTGTGTCTATAAAGATGTGTTCTGTGAGGTGGCCTCAGTATTAGTGGTAGTTGTTTTCGTGAAGATTTGATAGAGATGACGAAGTAAACATATAGCTTAGCAGTTATTGATCTCTTTTTTCAGTTGTAATAATGTCCACATTTTAACCTAATCTTTTGTAGTATTAAGAACCCTTCATTTAATGCCTTCAAAACTGTGTCAATCACATCACAGGACTCTTGTATATATACTTGGACTGATCTAAGTGCTCTATGGGTCTTTATTTTCTTTATTGCCATTTCTACTTCCCCATGTAGCATACTGGGGATTATGATGTTAAAGTTTTAATTTGGCGGCTCCACTGAAATATAAAATGTAGTTTATTGTAGAAATCCTGATGATCTTTTTTTCTCTTTCATTTGTGTTCTATCTTCATTCCAATATACAGTAATTAAAGCAAGAAGCTGTCAGAACTTGATGGTTTAAATTACTTCTAAGGCCATTTATAAGGCCTTTGTTATCAAGTAATGCTCATTAACATAAGTAAGATTTATAGTACTTGAAAGTTGCAAATTAAAATTTATATTAACTATGGTACTGAAGACAATGCATCACCAACATAAGAAGTGAGGAATTGAATTTATAAGATCAAATCTCTGAGTTCTGACTGGGGTTACATCTTTTTTCCACTTAATACCAATTTATAGTGAGTTTCAATGCAAGTCACACTGTGTGGTTGTAATATATTTGTAAATTGTGGGTGAAGAATGTTTTTAGACTTTTAAATTTCTTATCACTTAAGTTCTTGGGGATAAAACTTTTAAAATTCTCTATTTGCCTTTTATTTGCTTTTGATAATAAAGGGAATATGCATGGTACCCCCAATCTTATTTTTATGAAATTTTTGGGCAGTATTTTACTATCAACACATTTAGCTTGTTTGTAAGTTAGTAGGCATCACTACTATAAACTTTTCCATATCTTTTCAGCTGATATTTTAGATTTAAATAACTTTCATGCCCTAAAATAGATTGTCTGTTTGTAGGGGCATATTACTTTATTTTAAAGAAAAAGAAAACTAGAATTTTTTCTAGGATACTGTTTAGCTCAGTAAATTCTGTTATTTATAATAGTTCAAGTGTAAGTTAGTAAGGCCCTTAACTAGGGTCAGTGACATTGGAAATGATGGGGAAGAATGAGAGAGAGACAGATTATGGAGGTTAGAGTAGGCAAGACATGGTGACATACTAATCTATCCATCTCATGACCTTATGAAAATTTTTCACGTGAATTGTTCTTAGTGAACCCTTATTAGTTCATAATGATCATCCCACTTCCCTTTCTAAGTGCTCACAAAGTCCTCTAGCAGCTGTTGAATGTCATACAAGATTCAGCACACACTGTTATATTAATAGCCTCTGGTGAGGAACCTAGTCATCATTAAATAAATAAATCAGTAGGCTGAGATCAGCATAATTAGCAAAGAAATAATCTACTTATTTGGTGATTGCTGCCAGACATCAGTTGGTTAGGATGAGTTTCCATTGATAAGCAAAGACTATTTCCTTAGCTTCTCCCATCAAAGATAATAATGAATTATATAGGTTTTACAGTTTGGAAAGAGGCTTATCCAATTATAATGATGATAATAACTCACATCTACATCATGCTTTAAAGTGGGCAAAAACACTTTTTACCCAATAACACAGTGAGGTAGATGATATAAATTTTATCTCCATTTTAACAGATGGTCATGTCATACACTCCTATTCAGTAAATTCCAACGGCTCCCAGTCACCTTGAGAATCAAATACAAAATCCTCTATTTGGTATTCAAAGACGTTTATAAACTAGCCCCCTCCTACCTTTTCAGTCTTCAAGAAACTAGGGTCTCCATCATGAAGCACTGGAGTAGGACTTCGATGGAGAAATCTGCTCAAATAGAAATTTTAGAAAAATCACATTTTGCCTTTCTTATCAAAGAATGTATTTATTCTAAAATTGATGACTACAGTAAAGTTATCTTTAAAAACTAAGATCTTTTTAAAGACTATATAAATTAGTTAATGATTATATTGATATTTTTAATATAATGTTACCCACTGATGGTAATCCTGAGGGGAATGAGAGGAGGAAAAAAAGAGAGTCATTTTCACTTTTTCCCTCTCTGCCTCTTTTTCTCTCTCTTTCTCCTCTTTTCTTTTCTCTCTCCTCCACTCTTTTTCTATCCCCCCATTATAAATTTATCAGAATTGTTTTCCTAACTAGAGAATTAAATGCTGCACTTGAAAATGATGAATGCTTTCCAGACAGTCTGAGAGAAATGCGATTATGTATTAAAATACCAAAATCACTGAAAGGTTGCCTTACAAGGACACCTTAAGCTGTATTGCAGCATTAGCCAAGGAAATAATTAAAATACAAAGCAATTTTCTTAATTAAAAAGTAAAATTTGTAGTTAGTTTATTAAAAGTATTTGAGGAAACATGAAAATCTGTAGGAAAGTGATTTAGATTTTGGAACCTTTATATCAAAATGGCCTACTTCTTAATGACTTTGCACTTTTTTCTCTTGAAAGCAGAAGGTCAATGAATGTAAGAAAGTACAACTGATTAGATGATGCTCTGTGCATTCATTATGAAGTCATTAGATGTTAGGATGGGAAGAGACCTTAATATGTGGAGTCAGTGCCTTTGCCAAAGTCTTTCCTTTCTCCATTCCCTGGTTGCTGTTATCTACAAATTTAGGGAGCAGGTGCTTTAGTCCATTATTTCATATTATTGATGAAAATTTTAAACACCGTAGGACCAAGGAATGACCGTTCATGTTCTTTCAGGCTCTTTCTTAAATTTGCTGTTAAAGTATTCATTGAATGTGAACTCTGTGTCCAGGGATACGCCTACTATTATTATTTTCTAGACTAGGGATTCTTAACTTGGTGTCCATGAACTTAAAAAATATTGTGATGACTATAAGTTGGGTTCCTTTATAGTCCTATGTATTTCATTTTATGCCTTGAAAAAACAATATTCTAAACAATATTCTAGGAAGGGGTCCATCCACCAGGCTACCAAAGGGGTCTATGACACAAATAAGGCCTAGAATATGTTGCTAACTATATAAGGAGCTAACCTTCCTGAAATGAGATAGGCTATATCTATAACTTTTTTAATTTATTAGAACTTCTCTTTTATTGAAGATTATATTAATGTGATAAGGATTTGTTCATTATGAAACATCCTTTCCCTATTTCCTCTAAGTTGTTTGCAGTTAATTATATCATGTAAGTATTATAAATCTCTGATTTTAAAATAACTCGATATTATGATGAAGTCTTCAAGAATGAAGAATCCAACCTTCCCTATTGTCACAGAGACGCAGAATCTCAGAGTCAGGTGGAACCTCAGTTGCCATCTTGTCCGACCTGAACAAGAATCCCTGCTACTACATGACTAATGATTGAACACAGCTTTGGCTTTAGCACCTTTAGTGTGGGAGATCTCAGTAGCGCTACAGTCAGCATATGTGTGAGATATGAAATAGACATGGAGTTTACAATCTAGTTTGAGAGTTCATAGCAATGTATACTGGTGACAAAAAATACCAAAATAAATACTTTCTGATAAAATACAGATTTATCTACACCAATGCTACCTAAACAATTTCTTACACTTTGTTCTTCTTCACACTTAAAATGGACAGGTGAGTTTATTTTAAGACAATAATAAAAAGAATTACTTTACCTTTTCAAGGAAGGGAGAGACCTTTCTTCACTTTGAAGTCAGGTAGCAGTGGGTATCTGGGGTAGAGTACCAATCTAGAATTATATTATTTGTGAGTGCTGCAGAATCAATGCTTTTGAATTGTGGTACAGGACAAGACTTTTGAGAATCCCTTGGACAGCAAAGATGTCAAGTCAGTCAATACTTAAAGAAATTAATTCATGCTTCACTGGAAGGTCAAATATCAAAACTGAAGCTTAAATACTTCCTATAATGAGAAAACAGGACTCATTGGAAAAGACCTTGATGTTGGGAAAGACTGAAGGCAAAAGAAAAATGGGATGGCAGAGGATGAGATGGATAGATAGTGTCATGGAAACAATGAACATGAACTTGGACAGACTTCAAGAGGTAGTGGAGGATAGAAGGGTCACAAAAAGGTATCACAAAAAGTTGGACATGACTGAATGACTGAACAACAACAAAATATTACTGGTGTAGAGGAGAAAGGGAGTGATATCAGAGGGATGTGAGTTGTGAACAAGGGGAGAAAGTCTATTCCTGGCCCTTAAAGGATGGAGGATAAATCTTATCTTATACTTATAAGTCGACTCCTCCATACAAAATGCTAGTTGTACAAGACTATTATAGTGAATAGCAAGGAAATCAATAATAGCAAACAGAAATTGGAGAAGTAAATATATATTAGAATATACCAAAAAATACAAAGAGCAAATGAACTCTCCCACCAGAGTGAGATCTCTCAGCTCAAAACAAGAGACAAAGGTCCTGATTTCACCCAAGGGAAAATTCCTCAAGGTTTCTAGAGAGGCAAGATATACATCAGGGACATGTTGAGGAACTGGATTCCCCTACATGTTTGCCATTTCCCAAAGTCTTTCTCCCCCTCATTTGTTTCTCCCTGAAGAGAGTCTGGTACAATGTAGGTTCTCTTAAAGAAAAAAAAAGATTTTGTTTTCCAAATTTCCCATACCAGCTACTCCCCTCATATAGTCATGCGTTGTTGTGTCAGCATTCTCCTAAACAATTAAAACAGTCTCTTGCAAAATATCTGAGCCTTGGCTAGAAACCTAGGTTACATTATGATCCCATGACTACCACCTAGTTCAAAATAGGCTGTGACAAGGGTCAGTTTTTACCTCAGGGATGGTGAATACTAACTCTATTGGGCTTGGGGCATCTATGTATAGAACTTCAGAGGACAAGTAATAGAAGCCTTAGAAAGTACCATAAAACATGAAAATAATAACATGAAGCAGATTTACTTATTGCTCTTCCACTCTGACAACTTAGAAATCACTTCTGAAGGGAGCTGGGAATGTGCCTTTTAAAACAAATGATAACAAGTCAGTAAACAAGCATTAATTAAGTGCCAACTAATTTCCAAGCACTGTGCTAAGTGGTAAGGATACACAGAAAGTGAGAAGAGAGAAGAAGTGAAGGCCATGGGTATAGATAGCTTTTTCAAGGAGTTTAGCTGAGAAGAGTAGGAGGAATAGATAGCATGGATGATAGGATCAAATTAGGTTCTTTTTTTAAGGATGAGTGGGATGATGATGTTTGTAGATATTAGAGAATGAGCCAGTAGGTAGGGATAGATTGAAGACCAGAGACAGAATGGGAATGACAGTGAATGATATCTGCTAGGGAAGACTGGATGGTATAGGATCAAGGTTATATGCTGGTGGATTGACTTTGGCAAGAAGAAGAGCCACCTTTTCATCAGAAAATAGAATGATGGAGGAGATAGGAGTGATATCAGAGGGATATGAGATGTGAACAAGGAGAGAAAAGAGAACTCTTAGCAAATACCTTCCATCTTTTTAGTGATGTATGAGGCTAAGTCCTTAGTAGGGTTGGAGGGTTGTGGTAGGACCATGCCATGAAAGGCACAAGGAAAGATGAAAAGGTTCAGAACAGCCACCCTTCTGAGGGGAACAGAGAATTAATAATTAGAGAGGAGCACAAGAATTGCTTTGCTGTAATTAGAATCCTTTCAAGATTACATAATACAAATTTATAGTAGATTTTATCAGTACTATTTCATGGCTTCTTCTAGTTTCATTCAGCAGATCAAGAATAGGATTAGAGTGGGAAGATGGTTCAAATAACCCAGGGCAATAAGATAAGGGGACAGGGGAATTGAAAGGTCAAGATTTAGGAGGGAGGGAGTATATCCAGTGTAGGGATAATGGCCTGGTAATGTAATGAGGGGTGAAGGGATTAGAGGTCTCAGTGACAATGAAGAACAAAAAATTAGAAAAAAGATGAATGATAAAAGATTCCGATCAGATAAAGGAATTTCAGAATTCATGAATATGGAACTGGAGCGTTTGTTGCTTGGTGACCAGATCAATGGACCTAAGAGCATCAATTGCTCTTGTATAGATAAATGCTAAAATTCTGAATTGTTTTCTGAGCACATTCATTTGTAATTTAAAATTTTAGTACAGAAAAGCTAATGCTATAAAGATTACTTATCTAAAAATAATTTTTTCTCATCTTTGCCTCATATTTTATATTTAAGAATTATTTTGAAGCATAACCTCCAGGAAAAGGTTTAGAACCATGGGCAGATTCCCTGCTTGAATTTTAAGAATAAATCTTGAGCAGTTCAAAGTAGTCCTTACTCTAGAGAAGTGACCACAGAGAGTCTAAGGATGTTGATTTTAAAAAGCCAGCCAGCCTTTTGTGTTTACTGTCTCATGCAGAATGTTCACCTGGTATTTTTTCAAAACTGTTTCTTGAAATGTAAAGGTATATTACGAGGTTCTAGAATGATCCTTGTCTTAATGTTCCCATTTACTCATCTGTACTAAATTCCATGAATCTCTTCTATAGTAGGATCAGGGTGAGGATGATTGGGAAATCAAATTTTTTTAGAAGACCAGACATACTTTTCAACAGTTACTAGAAAGATGATGATCATGATCATGATCATGATGTAAATATTCCTGCTCCTATGTTTCATTATGTTTTGGAGGTGACCCTGGGTTCTCAAAGGTCATTGTTTCAAATGTAAGTTCTTACACATTGAATGGTTTGCATTCTGGTCTCAGTGACAGATTGCAGCTGTCCTTTAATGGCTGATATGGCTAAGAACAGAGAGGTTCATATTCCTAGCACAGCCCCTGCACGTGGTAGGATTGGTTAGAAGAGTTCATCCTCGGAAAGAAGGTTGATAGGCAAGATAGGGATGAATTTGGGAGAACTGTTTGGATTTTATCCTATGGGTGGTAGGGAGCCATTGAATATTTCTTGAGCACAAAGGGGGTCAGAGTATAGGAAAATCAATTTGGCATTAGTATGTAGGATGAATTGGAGTGATCACATACCAAAAGCAGTCAGTCAGTAAGTATTTATTAAGTACCCAATATGTGCCCAGGTACTGTGCTAAGTGCTGAAGATACAAAAAGAATCAAATGACAGCCCTTGCCCTCAAGGAGCTCAAAATCTAATGGGAGAGACAACAAGGAAACAAATGTGGACAAACGAGATGGACAGGACAAATGGTAAATAATCAAAAGAAGGAAGGCACTAGAATCAGGAGGGATTGGGAAAGGTTCTTGTAGAAGATAGGAACTCTTTTGACTGAGTGCTCTAACATTCTCTTAGTATAGTGTTATTATATTAGATGATTTATACAAGACAGAATGCAGAAAGGTCACAGAAATTGAGTGACTTTGTTACACCTAAACATTTTTTTTTTGCACTGGACCTAGCAAGCAAAGGAACCACTTATCACTGATCTAAGACCTTTCTGGGATTGTAGTAGACAGTGAAATAGTTGTTCTATTGAAAGAGAAATATCTTTTGGTGCTGGCAGGAAACTTTAAGTTTTGTTAAGGAGTCCACAGCTAAAGGCCAGGGAAAAAAAAGCAGTCATTTTCACTACATACTGATAACTTAGTTTAGAGAATAGATATTACTGACAGGAAAGCAAGTGGTTATATTCTTATTAGTTTACAGTTACTCAGTGACCAAATTCAGTTGATGAGCACCGCAGGTAGTATGCACCATACAGGGACAAATGACAAAACAGCTCATAATAAGCCGCATCCTGGAAAGAACAAATGATGTAATAGGATTCCTTTCAAATTCAAGGACACCATAGGTGGGTTTCACTGTGGAGGGTTGACTGGTTGGTAATCAGTCCTTTTTCTTCTCTCCTTTCTGGAAGGCATAGATATGAATTAGTGCCTATCTCCTCCACAGTGTTGGTTCAGGGTGTGACTTTCTCTTTGGTCACTGCCCTTTCTTCTTTGCCCCAATCCTCTCTGAATGAGAGAGGCTGGGGATTTAATCAGCCACATTCAATTACAATTAGAATGCTTTTAGCCTAAAGGCAATATAATGACTCTCAGCACCACTTGGTGCCCTCTAGTTGCTCTTTTATGGAGTTTATATCAGATAGAAAATTATTAATAATGTTATAATAGCTCAGAGCTTCCAGTTAAGAAAATTTCTAACATTTATAGAGAATGTTAACTCTCTGCCCTAAATTAGTGTGTATTTCCAGCTAACCTCTGACTTCCTCTATTTCCCTTTTTGTAAAATTGATGATGTATGCAGACATGCAATACCACCTTTTTGACCAACCATTAAAAATATATATGAAGCAAAATCAGTATATAGGAAATAGCTTAGATAAAAAGAAATGAGAAATGACTATAACAGTGCTTGTTACTGGACAGGCATGAGAAGGGGAAGTTAAGAAAAGAGTCGCCCTTTTGGAACTTCCCTAAGTCCTTGAAGAAGCAAACAGAACCTTTGTTTGACATTCTTCATGTAGACAGTATTGGTTTTTTCCTTGTTGTTTGTCCTTCAAAATGAATTTTTTGAACATGATCAGACTTGACCAAGATTTCTCTAATATACTACATTAACTACTGAAAAAAAATCACCTTTTCTCAATATTTGTAGAAGTAATTTCTCCTCTCTCAAAAAAAAAAAAGATGAATCAAACTTTCAGGAAATTAAGCAACTCAAAGAAAATGCCAATGATAGTGTTTTGCTAATTCTATAAATATTTTTGTAAACTTGACTCAAACTAGAAATAATTTCAGCAATTTGAGAAATGGGCTTTCCTGCTGTTACATTCATACAGATTGTATGTACTCTGTCTTGCCTAGTAATTACTCCCACGGGTTTTTTCTCAGCTCTCTCTCCTCTTCTCTGTACTAGGTGTAAGAATGTAATGAACTTTACATAAATGCTTCCTTTCTGAAAGGCCAAAGAAATCATTGCCAACAGGTTCAGTAGTGAAAATGGTAAGGAAGCTGGCATCTTTCTTTTACATGGACAAATGTTTCCTTCTTTAATCTAGGAAAGCCTTTTGATTTTCCTGTGAACCCAAGTGGAGATTTATTATCAGATTCGTTGTTTGGTTAGCAGTCTGAAGTTTTTGAAATCAAAGAGTCAGAGTGTTAGGATCGTAGATCAAGAACTGAAAGGGACCTCAGAGACAATATGGTACAATTGACTCATTTTATAGGTAAGGCTCAGGGAGGCCAGACCACACAGATAGTAATCAAAAACAGCATTTGAACTCAATGCTCTTTCCTTGGTATTGCAGAATTTTTAGAAGTCAAAATGACCTTAGTTACTTTCTAATTTTATAGCAAGGAAGCAGACTGAAAAGTGAATTGACTTGCTCAGGGTCACAAAGCTAGTTGACAGACCTGCTATAAGACCCAAAGCTATCCCTAGGGCTGGGCAATCAGGGCTTTGCCCAGACCACCACATCTAGAGGGTACTTAACTATACTTGCAGTTTTCAGCAACCTACACAAGACAGAGCTTAGCACTTAATTAGCAAAAATAGCTAATTAGGAAGCAACTATTCGACATAGGAATAAGCTCTTCCCTCCACTGATTCTAAGTCCATGTTCTACCTCTTCACCTATGTTTTATATTGCTTGTTCTGGGTGCAAAAATTCTTAATTATAGCTTTGACTACACCCAAAGTCTTCTGACTCTCAATGTTATCTCTTGACACAAAGAACTTCTTTGCAGTTGTTTAAAAATGTGTCCTTTACAGTATATGGGCAAGATGACCTTTAAAGTCCTTTCTATGTCTAAGAAAACTAAATCTCTTTAAAGTGGCATTCTAGCAAGTACCTAAAAGCTTGATTTGTAAAATAATCACATAGGGGGGAATACAGAAGTGATGCATTTAAGAAATTATTGATAAAGTTATTAAAACATTGAATTCTTCTGTATACCTTTGCTCATTTGGAGAGTACTTGTTCTGTCTTCCCTTTTCCTTTATCTGACTTTTACTTCCCATTCATTTTGTAGTCCTTTTGACATTGTCAGTCTGCTCTTCACACATCTCCCTGACCCCATTCCCTTTCAGTCTTCTCTTTTTCACTATTGAAAGTAATATATTTTCTCAAAAATAAAACTTAAATGAGAAAATTTTATTAGGCAAAGTTGGTTTGTGCCATTTGACAAATGTTTTATATTATCTCTATGTCTATTTTAAAAATGAATTTGCTGCTGTTAATAACAACAAAAACAGTACTGATAAATAACATTTATTCCATACTTTTATTTTGACTGTATTGGCTGTATGATTATATCTCATTAGCATTGTAAGCTTCCTGAGGATTGGGACTACGTCATGGTTTTAATTTACATCTATATCCTAGCGTTTGTCCAAATACAATATCATGGACACAATAAATGTACAATAAACATTAGGTGATAACAATCTTTTTTGGTTCCATTGGGGTGTCACTTTCCATATGTTATTATATTTATTCCATATTTCTTAATATTAGATTAATTAAAAGAGGAAATGATAATTAGCTCTATTTGAGCTAATTTTAGTTTTAGAATTGGAAGGGACCTTAAAGGCCACAGAGTCCAACTTTCTTGTTTTACAGATAAAGATATGGAGGCACAGAGAAGTCAAATGATTTGCCCATGGTCATACAGCTACTAAGTGTCTAAGATAGAATTTGAACTTATGGCTTAATGATTCCAGGTCAAACATCCTGTCAGTTTATCTGACTATCAGCTGTAACCCTATAAACTAGAGCTTTGCATGGGATCACAGAATTTTACAACTAGAAGAGAATTTAGAGATCATATAGTCCAACTCTGCCATTTTACAAATCTGGAAATTGAGACCCAAAAAGAGGAACATGTATGCCTAAAGGCATACATCAACATATATAATACAGAGATAATTGATGCTTATAATGCTTTTGAAACACTGCAAAATCCTGAAGTTTCTTCTAATTCATCCAAGTTAGGATGAATTGTGTTAATATAGTAATACTCATAAATTTTATTATAATTAATTTCTTAGAAAATTGCAATAGATTTGGTACTGTGCATTTTACTTATATGTCGCCTCAACAAAGATTGTTCTATAATCACTGTGTCACAGAATATTTAAGTAATCAGTGTCTCTATTCCTGTTTAGCATACCACTGTCTTTTCAGTCACCTATGTTTGCAATCTCAAAGCCATCCTTGACCTCTCCACTTGACTTCTTGTCTCTCACCCCCCATATCCAACCAAGTGCATTTTGCATCTGTCCCTTTTCTTCCCTGAGATAACACTCTAGATTAGGTACTCATCACCTGTACCACTGAAGTAGCCTTTTTAATTGGTCCTTCTGGTTGTGGTTTTCCCCTTCTCCATTCCATTCCCCTCACAGCTTTTAAAACAATCTTCCTAAAACATGTCTGACCATATCACTCTCTTGTTCCAGTATTCCACATTGGCTACCTATTGCATTAGGGTAAAGTACAACTTGGCATTTAAAGTCTTTCACAATTTGGCTTCCATCTAAGCTTTCCAGACTTATTCTGTGTTCCTTCCCTTCACATATTCTGTGTCCCAACTAAGCTGGCCTACTGGCAACTCTACCCACTTATCAGCCCTACTTATCTGAACTCTGCATTTCTTCTCTTCCCTCCATACTTTTACCTAGCATGCTCCTGTGGCTGGAATTCATTAACTCTTCACCTCTATCTCTTAGAATCCTTTCCTTTGGTTAAGGCTCAGCTCACTTACCATTGCCTATGGAATGTCATCCTGATCCTCTGTTCTCCTACTTATTAATGTTCTCTCCTCAGATTATCTTATATCTACTTATGTGCTTACATGTTTTATCCCCTGATAGACAAACTCTTAAGTTAGGACTGTGGTTTGTTTTTTTTTCTTTTTCTTCTTTGCATCACCAGTGCCTAGCACAGGTGCCTTGTACATAGTAGGTATTTAATTCATGTTTATTGAATTGAATTTCCATTTCTAAATCATGTCAGATAATAGAGGAGTTTATTTTATTATGTTTTTAGGGACAATTCCAACAATTCATAGCCAGTCATAATATGCGACATGCAAATACCATGTACGAAGGAAAGGAGATCCTGTTTCTAAATGGCACTGTTCATCCTTTGGGTAGATTGATGAGTCACTCAGTGCTTGGTGATGAGTTGATAGTTTGACTTTTCCAACTGAGCTTTCTTCTTTTAGTCTTACTTTTAAAATAATGTTTGAGAGACTGCCTATTGTATATAAAGTAAATACCTTGCTAAATTGATGCAATTTTATTCAAAATTATGTATAATTCATAACAAATTATATTCTCTAGCCAAACACATGCTTTGTTATTCCTTAACAACAAAGTACTCTCAACCCAGTTAGTACGTAACCTTCTCCCCACCTCCAGTTCCTTGTGCCTTGAATTAATTAAAGTTTTTGTTGTAGTATTAATCTTGTGAAAAGCTCAAGTTGAATAAAAGGAGCCTGAGAAAATTGTAATAGCAGCTGTTAAAGGTGATAGAAAGAGAGAACAGAGTGAACCCTAGTGATAATTTCTGACTTTTATCTGAAAAACTGGTACCCTCAATTTCAGGAGAAAATGCCTCCCAACTGAGACATCTAAATATGTCAGCCAATTTTAAACCAATTGTTGTATTTCAAAGATCCAGACCTTTAGCCGAATATTTCCTTCCCTCATCGTTTCTGTCACTTTTTGTCCTCTGCAGCCCGTATATAACATGGGCATTTTTCTATCTACTCTAGAAAACTTTGAATTATTCAAGGTTCTGATTATTCAGTTTATAAATTATGTGAAACCCTGTTTTCTTCTATCTTTCCTTTTAGCTGCTTACCTTCTGAACATTTCAGTCATAGATTCACATATTGATAGACCTTGAAGGGACTTGAAGATCATGAACCCAACTGCTTTGTTTTGCATAAAAAGAAATTGAAGCCAAGTGAAGGTTGTGTTTTATCCAATGTTGTAGTAGCGGAACTGGAACTTAAACTTGGGTCTTTAGACGCCTCACCCAGGACTGTCATTTTTCATTAGCAGATTTCCCAGAGGCCTGAGGGAAGGAAAAGGAAACGAAACTTTAAGTAGTCAACTTTGGCACTTGCTAGCAGCACTGATAACTTGAGGTTTGGGGGTTATCTGTTAGTTTCCTGTATCCACACACTCCCTTCTCACTAGTTAGTACTATAGATAACTGAGAGCTACTGTTAGGATGATTTAGTTATCCAGTTTTACTTAATTGGCTATTTTGCATTTATATTTCAGATACAGGTCTTAATTTAAGATAAGTATATACAATTCAGAATTTATAGGGCTTTATTTCAGGCAAAGAGAAGTGTTTTGAAAGGAAACAGCTGTCGTCTGCACTTGCTGAATGAATTATGAGCTTAAGCGTCTGTCCTGTTAGAAAATGACATGTGAGCTTTCAGAAAAATCATGGCATAGTGGATAGATTGCTGGACTTAAGACTAAGGAAGCCTTGAATGAGGGCTAGGTATTGAAATGGATAAAGTGTGGAACTTAAAGCCAGGAAGATCTGAGTTTGAATTTTGTCTCGAACACCTATGAACTCTGTGATCCCGGGGAAGTCATTTGACCTCTCTGTGTCTCAGTTTCCCCATCTATAAAGTGAGGATAATAATACTACCCAAATCATAGGACTGTTGTGAGGATCAAATGAGGTAAAATGTGTAAAGCATTTTGCAAACCTTAAAGTACTAAATAATGTTAGATATTATTATTATTATTATAAGAATACTGGACAAAATAATTGCATAAACCTGTTAATTTTATTGAACTGGTCCAAAATTACAAAGGTGAGATTTGTTGAATCTGGAACTGGATAGGACTCCAGAGGCCATCTAATCCAAACTCCTCTTTTTGCAGATAAGGAAACTAAGGCTCAGGGAGGTCAACAGAGACACAAGCTGGAATTTCGGTGCCTTGGGGGGATTCTAGGAGTCATGGTTATCTTATGGTTTCCTTCATTTGCCCTTCACTCCAACAAGATTTAGGGAACCAAAGCATGAAGCAGGCATCATTCCTTCTTCCCCACTCTTAAAATAAATGAAAATTTACTAGTCAAGCAAGGGGCATGATTATTGTTATTCAAGTGAGGAGATTACTCCTAACAGATGGATTGAACTGAACTGAGGTTAGCTTTTTGCTGCTTTCAATGTTGCCCCTGGCTCAGCTGCTCTCTTTGCACCCGTCTAGTTATAGCACTGCTGTGAAACTCCACCAGCCACCACAAACCATATCTAGCATGCTGAAAATAGTCCCCTTCACTCATGAGAAAAAGTGGAATAGCTGACCTTTCTGAGAGAGAATGGGACTTAAACTGTGTGAAAGTAACAAGCAACCTACCAAGGAAAGACAGTTCCTAAGTTTCACCAGTTGAATAATTAACAAAATAATCTTGATCATGTATTTTTTTAAAGCTTTTCCAAGAAATCAGTCTCTGTCTCTCTCTGTCTCTGTCTCTCTCTCTCTGTCTGTCTCTCTCTCTCTCTCTCCCCGCCCCACCAACCCCATCCACCCTTAGATGGAAAACCGTGCTGGATTAGGGTTATGCCTGAGTAAACAAGAGTGTTGCTGGGACCTAATATTGGCCTCAGTTCTAAGAAAGCAGGTGCTGTGGATAGATATTCTACTCAGAGTAACTGGTATCAGTAGATTCCTGACACCCTGTGGTATCTGCTTATTTACAGGCTTTAGGGCACCATCATGGCTTCACATCTTCTTTTGATATGGAATCTTGATTCTTTCATTTTGAGTCAGGAAGACCAGAGTTGAATCATGCCTCAGACACTTATTAGCAGTGTGATCCTGGGCAGGCTAAGCCAGTCAGTCAACTAGCTTTTATCAAGCACCAATCATAGGCCAGGCACTATGCAGTACTAGAAAGGCAAAACAAAAACAAAAAGTCACTGCCCTCAGGGACTTCACAATCTAATGGAAGCTCTCACAAGTCTAAGTCATTTAACCTCTGTCTCAGCTTTATCATGTGTAAAATGGGGGCAATGATAGTACATTTCATAAGGCTGTTGTGAGCATCAAATGAGATAATATATGACAATGATAATGTATGTAAAGTGTTTTGCAAAACTCAAAGTGCTCTACAAAAGTTAGCTTTTATAACTATTATTTTGTTATTACTATTATCTGTTATCTAAATGGGATATGGTGAGACTAAACATTTGTAATGCTTGATAGGAATAGAATGTAGTCCAAAATAATAGGATGTTCTCTTGGCATGTCATTATTTCTTTATTTTTCATAGTAATATATATTATTTATTTGTTTGTTTGTTTTATTATTTTATTTTTTATTTATTTTTATATTTATATATTAATTTATTATTATTATTAAGTGTAAAATTTTATATGGGACTTTTACTGCAACTGACTATGTAAAGGTAAATAAAGTAGGTATGGTATAATTTTCCAGGTAATTTTTTATTAATTTATTTATAATTAGAATTCATATATCACCCATCTTGGTGATACCTTTAACTATTTGCTTGAGATCTCCACCTGTATGATGTTAGTCTGCACAGTCAAGTTATACTAATGTTATTATAGGCCATTTGTTTCACTTTTGGCAAGTGGAAGGTAGGAACTAGGAACCCTGTAAACATATCCATCTCTTTAATCACTCCCATTCAGTTTATTATAGTAAAAATATTTGGTGTTGGTGAAAGGCCTACTGACTTGTAAGTGTATGACTGTGTCACTATTGCTACCATTGTTGTTATCATAATTAGCATTATTGCTTATCTGTATTTTGACCCTTAGGGTAGGAAATTATGTTTGGGGACTCCAGCTGAGAACCAGGAGTCTACTTTCAAGTTAGCAGAAATCAGGTAGCGTACCATTCAAACAGAAGTGATTGAGAGTAAGATTTGCTGGACAAAGTTGAGAAAGAGAGCCTAATTTTAAAAAAATGATTAAGAGCAATATATGTATATATAAGATCAAAAGCAATCTGAAGGACTAACCAACAAAATGTAATTTTAGCTATACGAATTTTAGGGTTCTGAAGCATCAGCAATCCAATAAAGTTATAGCCCCTCTCCTAGTTACTTCCTAAATCATGGAATAGGAAAAGAGGAGTCACACAATTTGTATGGGTGCAAAAAAATGGACAGAACCCAAAAGAGGTTGAGTGGAAGGTGAAACTCTGCATAGCAATCTTCCTTCCTTAACCAAACAGTTCTAGTACCTGAGAAGGTTGAAGAAAATTAGATTAGGAAAAAGTAGGGTGTGAACAGCACACTGCTTAACTTTTTGACAACTTGTTATGGGGAGTCAGTTCCCATAGCTCCTTATTCCCCATATAATATCTATCTATCTATCTGTCTATCTATCTGCCTATCTATCTATCTATCCATCTATCTATTTACATATTTATATGTATGTGTGTGTATCTATATATCTATATCTATATCTATATATCTTTCCTTTGCTCAGGAAATATAGAGATTCCTGGCATTTTTTTTTTTACTAAGAATTCCACACGCCCCAGTGATTAATTTCCAGACATCATAACTCCTATTAATTTTTTGTTATGATCACTTGTCTCTTTTTAAGATCTCATGTTAAAATAGGTCAGTTTTTGCAATCCCTCTAAACTCTATCCTTGTCATTTCTTTCCAGACAATCTGATTCATACCTCCCTTCTGGAGGGAGATTAATATAGAGCTCCGAAGCTTCTTTTCCACAAAGAGCTACTGTTTCAATTTAAGGAGTATTGACTCTCTAAGAGCAGAAAAAATTCCCATTTTCACTTAATCAAGCTGTTTGGCCAATGCCACAGGATTAGTGCAGTTGTGGACTATAACTTGTGGATTGTATAGGAGAGAATATTTCCATGAGCCAACTGTTCTTATGTGAGCACTTAATATGACATTCTCTATAAATGTTTTACTTGGCATTTGCCCCCCATTTGTTTCCTGGCTTAGCTCAGTTAATGCTACACAAAAATTTGTGTGTATCTGTATTCTCCTTTTACCCAATTCACTAGAATTCTGAAATATTTAGTACACTTTGGAATTCTTTGAGCATTTATTTTGAACGAAAATTCTTATTGAATGCTTTTCTTTTAACATTGTAGCTATATTTTGCACTTAGAATGAAACTTTTGAAAGATTAATCACAAAATATCAAGATACAATTTGAATCCTTTTCTACCAAAATCTAGCTATAGTGATCTAAAGACACATGCAAGCATATCTATCTATCCATCCATCCATCCATCTATCTATCTATCTATCTATCTATCTATCTATCTATCTCTATAAAATGCCATCAAGTTAACTGTGCTTAGAACAAAGAGATTTCTATGAGATTTTACTCAGGCATATTCATTAAATATTAATGTAAATATTTTTTTTTAAATTTCAGTGTAGGTTGCTCTTTGTTATAATGGAATCTCCATCACTTAACTTCTAGTCTTATGAATAGCTATTTACAGAAATTCCATGCTGAATTGGAAAAATTAATTTTTACCATTTGGATTCATTGCCTGCCTAGTGGTCTTGATGGGAGTATATAAAGATGTGGAAATTTTAAATTTGTTTTTATTGTGGCAAGAGTATTTTCTTATGAAAGAAATATAGTTATTCCCCTCTCCCTCCCCCATTTTTAAAAGTTACAGATGACTTTGTCCAAGTGTGAGGCTGTAAAGCCAAAGAGAGAGAAAGCTTACTACCACATATCTTGGCCTGGCATTTGAGAAACAGAGTGCCTTTAATCTGGAGTCTTCCAGGCTCAAAAAGGATAAGTTAGCTTGTCTTTGTCAAAACATTAAGGTTTTTTTTCCCTTATGCAGGAATCAAGAGGGATATAAATGAGTTCCTCTGTTTCTTGTTGGTTTACTTTAGTCATCCTTAGTCAGAATTTTATGAAAGAGATAGCTACATGTTTCCAGCTCTAGAGCTGCTGTCCTTTTTCTTTCCTCTGTCAACACTGGGTGCAAGGGCTTAAGAGAGGAAGGATGATGACATAAGCAAGGAACATTCAGTAGTGTTATACTAGAGGAATCACATAAGACGGTAAGAATCAAAGCTGCCAATAAAGTATTTTGACAAACGTTCCAATTCACTGTCCAAATGAGGAAACTGAGACACCAAAGAAGTGAAATGCCTTGCCTAGAATTACCCAGGAAGTTTATAACTAGAGACTGGATCACAATTTTAATCAGAATTTATAGATAGTTGCCTGTTTTCTGACCCTTAGTATTTTGATTTATGATTTAAGGGAAGGTACCTATCTTCTCTATGTTTCAGTTTCTTCAAGATTATAATGGTCTGATACATGCTGACCTTAAGCACGTGTATTGAAGATCAATTCTATATTGATAAAAGTGTTTGCAAAATATCACTGCCTTGAGGAGGCTTGTTTCATTGATAATATTATGGTAAAAAGTTCTAATATTTTACATCAAAATTGACTTGCCTTTTTAACATTCTATTTTTTAGCTCTGTTTTTGAAAGGAATGCATTTTGGTCAGGAAGTCTGAACAACATTACTATTTTTAGCAAAATATTTTTGCTTGATATTGAATAACCTTGACATTTGTTTGCAAGATGTCTGCAGATCATTGTCAAATGGGTCCTTTTACTTCCAGAAATTCAAGGAAACAAGTGACTTTTGTTGGACTTGCACTGATAAAAATGATTTATAGGCATTCTCTTCAGTATCCTAAGAGATGCTTAGTATTTCCTTTTCTTTCTTTCTTTCTTTCTGTCTTTCCTTCTTTCATAGTTTTTGTCATAATCAGTTTGAATTTTTATACCATAGATTTTCAATGTGTTTCACTTTGGTATTATTTTAAGTTTGTTTCACAATCACAAAAGGCATCCTTGAGTAATCTTTTAAATATTTTTTTAAAAATTATCTTTAGAATCAATTGTCAATTGACAGAGGAGGAAAAAAATTGATTATCAAAATGAATATATCTTATCCGGTAAACTTTTTGTTTTCACACATTAAAAAGATTTAATCCTGAGGAAAATCATTTCTAGTGGAATCATTTTCCAGGAGAGACACTTTTAAATAACAATTTAACAACTCACATTTTTATAGTACTTTAAGATTTACAAAGCGCTATATAAATATGAAGTGAAAATAGCAATGGACTTGGATTTGGGAGGTCTGAGTTCAAATCTTAGCTCTGTCACTTATCTTAGACAAGTCAATTCACCTATTTCTCATCGATAAAGCGGGGTTAATAATGTTCGCCTCACAGCTCCACAGGGGCTCCTCATTACAGATCAAGTCAAGTTCACACTTCCTAGCTTAACATTCAACATCTTCTGCCATCTGGCACTACCCTTCCTCTCTAGCCTTATCTCATACTACTCCCATCTACATACCTTGTCCTCAAAATCATGAAATATTGTTCCTGAAGGAGACTTTAGGGATCATCTAGCCTAACTCTCTTATTTTTATAACT